TTTTTATATTAGAAATATATAATGTGTGATATAAATTTGTATTGACTATATAATTTTTATAAATTCTACTACAAACTAAAGACAAATGGCATGTGCATCGCCCGTGCATTGTTATGTATTCTAACCTTTACAGGGCGTTCGAGATTTGCGAATCAAAATAGCAAAAAAATACATTTAAAAAGTATCTGCCATTTTTCGTTCCAATCAATAATTTTTAAGATATAATGATTCGAAATTTGCCAATTATATAAGTCACGATTAAATAGCTAAGTCATCATCATAATAACTATCAATGAGCGATTCATGAATAAGCAGCAGTTTTAAACTTTTATATCTCAAAGAGTACTGGCTTAGAACAAAAAGTGGCAAATGCTTTTAATTTTTTTTTAAAACTTGCTATATTTTTCGCAAATTTCGGAACGCCCTGTATATAATTTTCTATTAATATGATAACACAATATTAATCTCATACCAAGAAAATTGATATATATGTTTTGACTAATATAGTTTTTATTACAAGTCGTGATTTATATTATGCATTATTAATAACTTACATTATGTAATTATAACAAAACATTTTTGTAACATAAAATCTTTGGAGTAATTTCAAATTGAATAGCTAGTGTATAACTTAACTATGTTAAAAAAATCTTAATTACAAATATCGAAGAAAGGAAGATATTTTAATTTTTATATAAACATCTAACATATAAGTTATGCATTTTCTCAGGACTTATTGCAAATTTGATTGAAAATTACTAGATAAATAAAAATTAGATATGTAACAATTTCAAAGACTAATTTAATTTCTTTTTGTAAAAAAGGTAAATATTTGTCCCAGTGATACATACTATATATTTGTCCCATTCATACATACAACTTATATAAAATATTATATAAAAGAAACAATCTATAATGATAATTAATACTAATAAACTACAGATTATTTTAAAAAATTAGAAAGTATTAGCTAACAAAAAATTCATAATAAAATACATATTACTTACAATAGTTATGTTATATTGGTACATATAGGCCATGGTCCGATTGCTGACTACGCTCATAATCATTTGTCTTCATTTAACATTTGATAAACAAGGATGAAATGATTTTTAAGCATTGTGAGCGTGAATCGGACCGCGGCCATAGAGTATAAAAGAAATGTGAAAAAAGACTAGACATTTTAATATCATACGAAATGTATATAGAATAATTAATACTCAACTACATACTGTTTATAAGGATCCATGAATTATAATTTAAATATAACAAAGATCTGATCATATAAATGCTAAAAGTTATTTAATAATAATATCTTGTTATCACTTTTTTAAGTTATTACTAAATAATTCGTTAAAATAAAAATTATTTTCGTTGATTATTGTATGCAGAGTTACAATGTCATTTATGCTTTAATTTTAACATGCTGTTAGGAGCACATTGTGAGCTGTCTTCTTCAAAATAGTTGTGATAAACACATAAATATTGCACATTAGAAATAACTTTATACATCGTAGGCTTATGTGACGTATTGTAAAAATCTTATTATTACTAATAAGATTTTGGATAAGTTACCAAAATCCATTGTGATAATAACTATTTGTACTTTCGAAGTAACAAAAGAAAAATACTACAATTATATTAAATAAAATTTCCATTGCATATGGAAATAAATGCTTAAACAATTTAATATATATCAAGCAGCATTACTTTAATTAAATAAAACGCGCGATAAGAGAGCGTAAAACTGCACTATATATCTATAAAAATTTAATGTCCTAAAAGCTAGAGTGCTTAATGATGTATTTCAATCTTGTTTTAAATATTAAATATATCTTACAACATAGTATAAAGCAACATAGCATATAATATCATAACACTAAACAATAACACTGTGTATCAAAGATATATGTGTACTATACGTTCCCTAAATTATCAAATATGATACGTTCGATTTCAATCACCGTGTCTATAAAAAAAGGTATAATATAACATACAAAAATTATTTAAGAGAGTCTGCTACAACCGCAATTACTACTATCACCGATTGACGTCGTTTTACCATTTATTGAAGTTGTATTCGTTTCATACCGAGGTAATTCCTTACAGCGTGCTTGCTAAAATAACATACGAGCACTGCAAAATGTTCTAAAATGAAATAATCTTAAATAAAATAGGCTTGCTTACCTCCATAAGTTCAGCTGCTATTTCCATAAATAATCTCTCTACATTTTCCGCCTCTTTAGCGGACGTTTCTAAAAAGTACATGCCATGCCTTTGTGCAAAATCCTCTCCCACGTGTGTCGGTATCTCTCTATCCTCTCGATCAATTTTATTCCCTAATTAACATATAAAAATTGCATAATTTCTCAATGATAGGAAAGAGAGACACATGTTAACTTATAATCTTTATGTTTTTCATTTACCTACTAATATCCTAAGAACTTTATTACTTGCATATTCTTCGATTTCCCTCAACCAATCTAGTAAACAATCGAATGTAGGTTGACAAGAAATATCATAAACTAATATCAATGCATGTGCTGATCTATAATAACTTTGAGTAATGGAACGAAATCTTTCCTGACCTGCAGTATCCCAGATTTGCAACTAAAAAAAATATTCAACAATAGATTATATATAGATCTAACACACATGTCGCATATAGATTATATACCTTAACTTTTTCATTTTCCACTTCGACAGTTTTAATCATAAAATCAACTCCAATTGTTGCACCTTGTCCAGGTGGAAATAAACCCTGTAAATTAAAATATTCACATTAAAATCATATAAAATAATATTAAAATTAGACATATCAATATCATTTCAATGTTAAATTACATATCCATTTAATGCAGTTTTCATCATCTTATAATTTTATCATATGTGTGTCATCTAAGAAAGACATTATAAAAATAGTGCTCAGTAATGCATTCTATTACAAGAGATGACTAGAGTTTTGAGAGCGATCTCTTAAAGATCTCCCAATGGAAATAAATTTTAGAAAGTTTCAGGGAATATAGGCTAATATAAAATATGAATTGAAAATATGAATTGAAAATATGACGCATCAAATAGTACCAATAACAGGCAAATAAACCACAATAGATCGGTTTCAAAGTAACATTCCATATATGTAGATGACATCATCTCCAAGATGCATAAATAACGAACTTTCCACCCTTTCCGGGAAATGCGTTCGTGCATGAATTCTGCGTGCGCGAGGGAGAAGATAGAGGGGTCCCACGAGAATGCCTCTCGTTCGACAACGAACTCTCCTTGAGGTTTTCGTAATCCATGACGGGAAAGAAGAGAAAAAAAAGAGAGAGGAATCGCCGACCCGAGGGACGCACCTGAGTGAATCGTCGCACTAGGCAGGTCTTGCCCACACCAGCGTTCCCCACGAGCACGACCTTGAAGAGAAACTTGTAGTCCTCCATGTTCTCCACTATCCGGCACCAGGAGGCGGAGGTTCGCGCTCGCAAGCCGCCCGCTCAACAAGGACGACGCATCCGTGCGAACAGGGGGGAGGAGGGGAGTGTCGATTTTTCGACACCAACTACGGCACCGCCGGACTTTTCGCAAGCGTTCACCTCGACGGCGGGCCGCGCGAATGTCACGCACGCTGCACGCACACACACGGACCTACGCGCGCGCTCACCTCCTCAGTTTCGCTCTCGAGAGTCTCGAGGAAGGGAGAGAGAGAAGAAAAGAGAGAGGGGGCCGAAAGAAACTGACGGCAACTAACTCGGCATCGTCGCTGCGCTCATCGCTACACGCGATCCTCACTTAGCTATCGAGAATCTCGCGTCTTCTTCGAACGCGATCGACATTGTTGGTTATGTATATAGACCCCCGTGAACCGTAGGAGACACACTCTCCTTGTTACAGTTTTTCCATCCTGATTCATCTCGGAGAGGCGCCATCTACCATCATCCTCTCCTTCTACTATCAATCTTGAGTAAATTTCCGTTCGGGTACATTTCTCAACAATGGAGTTCCTGAGACCTGGAAAGCTCTGATATCATCTGTCATTTTTGCTGCTCAAAAATGTGAGCAAACAAAAACAAATGTCTTAACTCATCCGCACTCACTGTTTTATCATCGATAATATAAAAAAAAAAAGTACAGGAAAATACGAAAGGTACAGAAAGTGTACATGTGAGAAGAACGTCATTAGTATATATCAGTACATATACTGTAATTTGATAAGACGCCACACATACAACGAAATCATTCTCAAAGAGTCGAATTTGAGTTTGACAATCGGGATAACGTCAGGAAAAGATGAGACGAAAGGCGGGAGTAGGTGCGATACAAAAGCAGAAGCTGGAGCAAGAGAAGTACCGAGATAAGGGCACAGAAATCCAGGAAAATCAATTCGAGCAGATGACCAAGCACATGGAGACGTTTCGTGTGAATCTCGAGGAGTTTGCTTCAAAGTACAAGAATGAGATCAAGAAGAACGCGCAGTTCCGACGCCAATTCACAGAGATGTGCGCCTCGATTGGTGTGGATCCTTTGGCATCTGGCAAGGGTTTCTGGTCGGTGCTGGGCATTGGCGATTTCTACTATGAGTTGGCCGTCCAGATCGTTGAAGTCTGCATGGCAACGAATTACAAAAATGGTGGCCTGATATCGTTAGACGAGCTGAGAACGCGTTTGATTCAGGCTAGAGGACGTAGAAAGGAGCATCAGGAGATCACCAATGAAGACCTGTTAGCTGCCGCGAAGAAATTGAGAATATTTGGGAATGGCTTCTCCGTAGTTCCCATCGGTAGGGGAAAGCACTTGGTACAGTCAATACCTGGTGAACTCAGCATGGACCATACTGCAGTATTGAGTCAAGCTAGCTTGTCCACAAACGCCTATGTCTCCAAGTCTATTCTGTGTAAAGAATTGAGATGGGAGGAGGACAGAGCACAAAAGGCTTTGGACCATATGATGAAAGAAGGACTGGCCTGGCTGGACAGACAAGCAAAAGATGAGACATTATATTGGTTTCCTAGTTTATTCACAGCTTGCATTGTTTCCAAAGAATGAACTCGGTATCAATATCAATGTTATCAAATAGATAGGAAATAATTTAAAGAAAGAATAAACATTGCTTATTAAGGTTTGTATCTCTTTGGTCCGTAAAGCCAATTGCTCTGTAATATTTACAGTATCTGAGATGTGTTGCGATCGTTTTATATTTATAAGTATAGGGCATTGTCACCTGGTCTCGGATCCTTGTATATAACTAAAATTGCAAAAAAAAGAAATATAAGTAAAAAGAAGATGCCATTTTAATATGACTCAATTTCTCTCAAATTTTATACAAACCTAGGTTGAATAGTATCTGTTTTAAATTGAGTAAATTGCTGTTTGCAAAGTGCTTTGTGTAATTCGGCATTCTCTTTTCGTAATGAGCTAATTTTTCCACGTAATTCCTTAGATTTTACTTGGAATTGTGCTGTCAAAGATTTTGCTTCATCTCTCCATCTTAAAATCAAATCAAATCAAATTTTGATCATTTAGATTTTAGATAGTGACACAATAAAACTTTTTTTACTTTCTGCTTAGTTTTTGATGAATTGTCACATGCTGCGTCATCTCTCTTATTTTCTTGTCAAAATGTTCTTGTTGTTTATTCAATTGTTCAGTTAATAGAGACTGCCAGTTGGAATCCATATTTTCAAATCTAGAAAACATAGAAAAGTATCCAAAGTAAAAGTTATTTATTTTATGTACAGCTTTGACCATATGTATAAATTTATTGCATTTTCTTGAAAAAAGTGATAATAAAAGCCAAAGAAGAATTAACAAAATATTAATATTATTAATATTATAATACACTATAAAAATAGTGTAGGTTTTTGTTATCGTAAAACAAAGTACGACCAAAGCACGTGAAGGACCTCGTTAATTTCGTCATCAGATACATCGGGTATCCAGAGTTTCATGTTATTAGAAGAAGAGGAAGTTGTATAGGTCCTTCCTGTTCTCTTCGCTGTACGAGATATCTATCACTACGCAAGACAAACAGAGAGAAACCTGAGAGAGGACCAAAACCTGTAATCGCAAAATGCTGCCGCGTACTACTACTCTCTGATAAAAGTTGATGTAAACTACATATAATAGCAAAGTCCACTTTTCAAGCCTGGAGATGATAAATCGATTTGATTCATATAATCGTATTACATGTAGTAGCGTTACATGTGACCTTGGAAAACTCACGACGTTTCTTCTCGAAACTCGTTGAACCGCAGGATTCACAACAGCTCTTACAAACTCGCAACCGTTCTTACAAACTCGTAATCGTTCTCCTCGCAGGGCTCGCAATAGCTTCTCTTAAGCCGGTTCTACATTAGTTGCAAACCGATCGCAAGTTTGTTGCGACAACCAATATGAAACATTGATTTCAAAATGCAAGTTTCAGATTGGCTATCAAACTTGCGATCGGTTTGCAATTAATGTAGAACCAGATTTACAGGACTCGCGATTGGCAAAAGCTCAAGGCTCTCTCTGCTCTTTCGCATACACACATATGCATCCTCGCGGATGTCTCGCGAATCTCCTCTGATCGCAACGCACGCTCGCATACACACTCGCTACCTATTATGCCCTACAATAATATTTTTCAATAAAATTATTTTAAAATTTATTTTTCATTAAATATAAAATATTTCAATTTGTGGAGGTGCCTTATATTTTTGGCCATGGCTGTATAAATGTATTAAAATGTACATAAAATGTACATTTTAATGTATAATAAAATTATTTACCTTATATCCAAAGTATGTTTGCTTGTATCCGCTCTATGTTGCGAGACTTGCATTGGAGAAATATTGATACCCGATTTACCCTCTGTTACGTAATTTTCTTTCAAAAGATTCGCTTCTAATTCACGGATCTTAGTTTCCAACGAGCATCGCTCGTAATCTCTCTTATGTATCTCACGGTCGAAAGCCGATTGTAGCGATTTCAATTCTGTCGCCATGGATTCTTTATCATCTGTAGCTTTGACTAATTGGCCCTCCAAATTAACGTAGTGATCGATCGTGTCCTTCGACCTTTCATCGGCCAACTTGATGCGATCTCGTATATCCATAGAGTTCTGTTGTTGAAGTTGTTTCAGTTTCTCATTTGAAGTTACTAACTTCTCTTCCAAATTAACAATTTTTTCTCGCAGCTGCTGCATCTCTACATTATATTGTCTCTTGCACATTTCATTACAAGCTTCCAACTTGGAGTCCGTCTGTTTCAATGCTTGTTCGAAGGTCAAAATCTTCGCGGCCGATTTTTCCAATAAATCCTTGGAATCTCGACGCATCTTTTCTAGTTCCTCCTCTGCCAATTTGCTCTCTTTTTGTGATCGATCCAATTGCGTCACCTTTTCCCATAATTCTGCTTTCAACTGTTTGATCTCTGACAAATATTGCTTCACGTTGTGCTCATAAGCATCTTTCAATCTAGCAATCTCCTCTCGCATCTTAACGGCGTGTTCTTCGGCAATGGAGGCCAATCGAGTTTCCAATCTGACATTCTGTTCTGCAATTTGACCCTCTCTTTGAAGTACAAAATCCCTTTCTTTTACAGCAGATTCTACTAGATCAAGAGCTTCGGCCATCTTACACCTTGTTTCTTCATACTTCGCCATAATATTACTGACCTCTCTTCTACTCTCGTTCAGTCTCTTCTCTAAGTCTGACTTTAAATGATTTATGACTCGTATCTCTGCTTTCGCGGCAGATAATTCTTCCATTAATGATTGTATCTTCTGCTGACCATTCCTGTCTTTTAAATAAAATTACATACTATCTCTCTCTTTCATATCTCGAATTAAATACTATATAAATCACCGACCTTTCTGTTGAGAATCTTGTTGAAGTTCCTGAAGTCTTGTTTCTATTTCCTGTTTTTCCCGCTTTAGAGCTTCTATCGTCTCTTTACTCGACATCCACATTGACTGATGCTTTGCAAAATTTTCCTTAGCCTGAAGTAATTTACTCTCTAAAGCTTTTATAGCTTCTGAATATGATTGTCTGATGTTTTTCAATTGCTCCTCATAAAATATGGCATTGCTATTATCCACTGGATGAGTTTTTAGTTCTTGTTCTAAAGTGTCCACAGCTTTCATTGACATCTGGTATAATTGGACCGCAAAATCCTTCTCCATTTGTAGAACTGTGATATGCTCTTTCAAATTCATGACCATTTTATTGTGTACATCTTCATTGCCACATTGTTCTGAATGAGCATGTGAAATATAATCACGTATGGCATCACTACTATTTTTATTTTCAACATACAAAGCTTGTAGCTCAGAACGAATGCTGGCTTGTTCTGTCTGTAAAAGATATATATCGTATATAGAAGAATTGCTATCCAAGATAGTTTTTTGTAACTCTTAATAATATCGTTATATTGTCATTGCTCAACTTTTATATCATATCTCTCCAATCTTATATTCTCTAAAACTTTTAGAATGAATCTAACTCTAAGGAGAAATCTTTTAGAGATAGAGAATTAAATTATTATTTTTCAAGTTGAACTCAATTTTCATTCTTTAGTAAGCTTCTACTCCGAAAAATTTAGAAAGTATTACACTGCATAACAACAATGCAACAATATTAACATTGTCGTTAAGAATTACAGAATAGTAATAATGATAAAATATAGAAATCATATTATGATTGTTTTTAAGTGATAAATGTCATTATGATGTTCTTCTAATATCATATGATTTCTGTGTTCTACCTGGGAATGTAGTTTATGTAAGAATAAGATATAATTGGAAGAAAGAAACAGATCCTATTACTGTTAAACAGACTATTATAATGATAAATAAGAAGCTTACTTTGCACGTTTCCAATTCCTGTTTAAGTTCTTCAACAATGTCATTGTATTCTTGAAGAATAACATGATGTTCTCTGAAATATAAAAAAATAATTATCTTTTATCTAACATCAAAAGCATACACTCAAGATTTCCTAACCTCACACTCACCCGCGTTTTAGCGCGTTGTATTCTGAATCGAATTTTTTTGTTTCAAACATTTTTTTTACAAAACTTATTAATTTACAAAAAGCAAATCAGTTATTATTAAAAAATTTTATCTTGATATCTAAATTATTTCCTTTCAATTAAATCAACAACTATCCATAACATGGTTACATAAACACAACACACTACATAATTGATTTGACACACATGTATACGTAGTACGTATTATAATGCGTACACACACACACACACACACGCGCGCGCGCACGCATGCACACACACACACACACACACACACACCATCTATATATATATATAGAATGTGTACAAGTATGTTTTTGGTGGTAAAAATGCTCAAAATTATCAATATTTGATGATATAAAAAATATTGATTAGTACATTTTTGTCAATAATTATCTATGGCGATATATCGATAATTTATTTAATAAATTTATGATAAAGCGATCTGTTCAGTTGAATTTTATGCATTTGTTTATCTTTTCTCTTTTTTCCTCTATATTATAAATTTCCTCTATATTAGAAAAAAAAAGGAAGAAAGATGATCAATGTAAGAAGTGAAAAAAGAATAGATTTTAAAAGAGTAGATTAAATATGTGTTTTGAAATACAATTGTGAAAATCATTTAATATACAAATTATTTTTTAATAATATATATCTCGGAATTTATCTTCAAAATGTATATCATAGCAAACGAATATGAACGTAATATGAAGCATTTTTCCATTGGAAAAACTTAGTGTGCACTGAGAGTGCAATTGAATGTAAATCAATTTACATGTTTTCAGTAATTAATAATTAATTTAGTCTTTTTAATTCTATATTCTTTATTGTTTTAATAATCTCATAACTTTAAAAATATTAAATTATGTATTAACACTAAAAATATATAAATCGATTTGTGCTCAATTAGTGTTGCACTTATACTTATAATCAGGTCTTATATTTAAAGCTGCATTTTCATGCTGACGCTCGATTTGAGCATCAAAACGGATCAAAATTGACGAATATCAAGCATCAATTTTGATTACGTGACTTATTTTGACGCGAAAATGAGTGTCGAACGTTGGCATGAAAAGGCGATGAAATTTATCTTTAAATACTCTACGAATTATTTCATTGGCTGCTGAGCCAATCTAAAGATAAATTTAAGGAAGCCTTAAGTACAAGGATTATGATTATCTGATTATGAATACACGGGCATTAGTTTTTCCAGTGGAAAATGATTATAGGTACGTTCGTTTTGGGACACTCATAGCATTATTATTTGTTCTTGTTTAATATTCGATAATCAACAAGAATAAAATAATACTACAACAGCGTGTGCACGTGATAAATGAATACACCCAATAAAAGCGTTTGCAACCGGACAATTGCTTCCTTATCAAGGTATGTATTGCATTTTCATGGCCGTTTAAACTGGCCGTTTCAGCGAGAATCACGTGGTCAAAATACCGAATAACAAGGTTGCCTAAGGTTTGTTCGCATCGCACGCTCCAACATGCTCTAATATGTTCCTATTATAACTCCTACTCCAATGCACTTATTAGAATGAGTAGGAACTATATAGCAGGAGCATGTTGAAGCATATTGGAATATGCGACGTGAACAAACCTCTAATTTCCACCGAGAGTTTAATCTGGATCAGAATGTAAGAACCAATCACAGTCAAGCATTTCCCTGTCGTTCGACTATACAGAGGAATATTCGACTATATATAGTTGGTTCATTTTTACATTCTGATCCGGATTAAACTCTTGGTGGAAACTAGACCACTATCATCAGTTTGATCCTTTTTATTACTGAAATTACCGACTTGAGCGGTACGTGAAAATGTACCTTAAGGCATTAGTTTGACTCGCGTACGTCGTATTGGTTGAAGTTGCCGCTATTTTCGAACTTTTTCGTTGTCCCTTGTCGAGACTAGCATTGGGTGAATTAATCTTGAGCCAAGTAACGTTGTGACACGTTTAATTATTAATCGGTAAATGTAATTATCATCCACTCGCATTATATATTTATTCGTATTTTATTTAGTATATATAGGCGGCTTGTGAAGCACAGTTCTGTTCGTAAAATGGCAAAATTCGATCGTAACGTGTCGTACGATTGTTCCCTCGAGACTCACTGCACTGTGAACGAGTATTCAAATAGGACAACAAAGATATGTTGTTTTTAACTGATCGAATTTCTTGCATGGTTTATCTTTTTACTTTTTCTCTCTAACGTAGAAAGATTCTTTAAAACTCTCTAAAACTTTTAGAGTGAGTGTCACTCTCGAAAAGTAAATTCTTATTTTTAAAGATTGAAAATTGAACTTTTTTAAAAAATCTCAATTTTCACTCCTTAGAATGAAATTCCAAAGAATTTAGAAAAGAGAAAAAATGAACCGTGCAAGAAGCTCAATTAAAAAGAACAGGCTTTATGTCACGGTAATATGAAAATTAAAATGAAACATAATTGATAGAAAAGTGATTTTCTATAATTATTTTAAAGCCATTTGACATTCTTTTGATTATTACTTGTTATTTATATTATTATTACTTATTATTCTGCTATTAGGTAAAACGAATGATCATTATACTTTCGGGTATCGTATTCTACAGAGGATATCCACCTTTGATTTTGAATCATATTCAGTCATGTTGTAATACGAGATAATAATAGCAAAATCTTTCATTTATTATTCAGAGAAATTTGTCGTGGAAAACGCGCAAGAGTCGCCGCTGACGCGTGAAGTTGGCGTTAGTGCATGAAGTTGCTCGCGCGATCTGTGCAGCTAACCCATTTTAGACTCTTTGTTACTGTATTAATAATACACGGACTACGAGCGTCTCTCAATTCCTTCGTTTTTTTCGCGGCGTTTCTTCATCACGGTGATCCAAAATGTGTTTCGCATAAGACGGGTAAGACCAATATCAGAAGTATCGTGCGATTATTATAGAATAATGATTAATGCGCGTATTCATAATCGGTCCCGTTTTTTGCGAGCAGGTTGTGGCGACACGAGACAAAAAGTAGGAGAGCATCGGAACCCCGGAAGCATTGGACAGCAAAAAGATGGACAGGTAATTACTTATTTATTTATTGCTTAAACTTGAATAATCGTTTATTTACGTGAATATAGCATTCTATGTGCCATTTTATATTTTACAGGTTGTAAAAAATACGTATAAAGTAATTTGGATTTTTTAAAACTTTAAATATTTAATGAAATATTTATAATATTTAATATCTTTTTATTAACAGTAATTAATATTTAATATAACATTGTGACTGGATTTTTACTTTTTAATAAATTTCAGCTTATCTACTCTCTTGTTCTTGCTTTCATTCTCTCTCTCTCTCTCTCTCTCTCTCTCTCTCTCTTTCTTGCTCTTTCTTGTATCCATTAGATAAATTACCACATAGTTCATCCGAAGGTGGAATAATGAGCTCTGCATGATTTATAATCAAATATTATTCATAGAATTTGATAATTTATTTGCTTTCAAATTGTGCCAGTTAATAGTATAGAGTGAGACGAGAAATAGGAGGAGAAGGCTTGAGGCATCGAGCGACAGCGTAAAATGAATATGTAAATAATTACAATTTATTTATTGCTTGTTATCAGAATTAAATAATCGTTTATCTGTGCGACGATCGAATTCTGTGCGCCATTTTATATTTTATAGATTGTAAAAAAATGTCTATAAAGTAATTTGCGTCTTTCAAGATTTAATATTTAATAAAATATTTATAATGTTTAATATCTTTTTGTTAACAATTGTTAAATAATTAATACAATATTTAACATAACATTGTGGCTGGATCGTTTCATCTTTCGATAAATTTCAATTTACTCGTTCTCTCGCTCTCGCTTTTGTTTTCTCTTTCGCTCTATCTTATGTCCATTAGATAAATTATCACATAGTTCACTCGGAACAACCGGCTCTGTATGATTTACAATCAAATATTATTCATAGAATTTGATAATTTATTTGTTAGCAAGTTGTGCGAGTTAGAATGGCAATGGGAAGACGAAAGAGAAGGAGGAGAAGAGGCCTGGAAAGTATCAAGCGACAGTGAAGAGATGGACAGGTAATTATTTTTATTATAGAAAGAGACAAATGTATATAAATCATATTGTGAAAAAAGACAATTTTCTTAATTGTATTAATAGTAAATTTATTAACTTCAAATATTAATATCAAACATATTTCTTTTAAAATGTTCATTAATACATATAAATATTATTTATATAATATATTTATATAATATATCTCGTACCATATTTCGGATTTTAAATATAATTTTAAATATA